GCGTGCAGTCGCTCCCGCCCGCCGGTTGCCGGCAGCGCCAAGAAGTGGTTGTTGCGCAGGTTGAGGCGCGCCAGAGAGGTGCCGGCGAAGGCGTCCGTGGGCAAGGTGCGCAGCAGGTTGTCGTTGAGGAAGAGCAGCTTCAGGTTGGGCATGAGGCTGAAGGCCGCCGGCTGGATTTCCCTGATCAGGTTGTACTCGAAGTACAGGTAATGCAAGCTCTGCAAGCCCCGGAACATGCCCGGCGTGAGCCGCTCGATGTCGTTGCCGTTCAGGTAGAGGCTCTTGAGATTGGGCAGGTTAATAAAAGCCCCGTCCTGCACGTAGGAGATCCGGTTGTTCCCCAGGTGTAAGAGATCCAAAGAGGAAAAATTCCAGAAATCGGAGCGGTAGATTTTCTGTATCAAATTCCCGCTCAGGTACAACTTCTTGGCGTTGAGGGGCCTGGGCAGGAGCTCGGAGATGTTGTGAAACCCTCGCTCCTTGCAGTTGACCGTGAGGCCCAGGTCGTTGATGTGCAAGCTGCAAGAGCAGCCGGTGGGGCAGATGATGGGGATGGGGGGCCTGGTCTGGTAGGCAGCGATGGGCGGTTGGTTCGGCCCGGGGTAGAGCCCGCGGGGCGTAGGGGGAGGCCTGGGCGCCCTGGGCTGCTTGGTGGGCTTGGGCTGCTTGTTGGAGGTTTTGTACTCAACCGAGGAGGCGGTGAAGTGGAAGGAGGACAGCATGGAGGACGGCTTGGTGGGCCACGCGTTCTCCTTGCTGGACGGCAGCTGCGGGATCCCCAGGCTGGCTTCCACCTCGGAGTCGGACAGCATGGGGCAGAGCTTACTCCTCTTGATCTCCCGCAGGTCCTTGCCGTGGAAGTGGAAGGGGGTCTCGCAGGTGATGTCCCCCACCAGGGCCGTGTAGGGGATGCGCTCCAGCCAGCTCTTCAGCTGCACGATCTCACAGGTGCAGTTCCAAGGATTCTCCTCCAGTTGGATCTCCATGAGGCTCCGGCCAATATGGTCCAACATCCCCCGGTAGGGAAGGACTTTTAACCTGTTCCCGCGCAAGTCCAAATGGGTTAAGGACACAGATTTAAATAGGTTGGTGGGAAGCATGGGGATAAGATTGTCATTCAGGATAAGGACCCTCAACTTGCTGAGGTTTCGAAACGCCCCGCTTTCAATCCGTTTAATGACATTGTAATCTGCCTGCAGATATTCCAGACTTTCCAAACCCAGGAAAGTGTCGTTCCTGAAAATGTCCAATTTGTTTTCGTGCAAATACAACCGCTTCAGAGCTCGGAGCCCATTAAAAGCCCCGCTCTGGATGTCCTGCAGTGCGTTGTTCCCAAGGTTAATAGACACAGCGTTGTTCAAGTGAAGAAAACTGTTGGTGTACAATTTCCTCATGGAGTTCCTCTGCAGGTAAAGTTTAAAAGGTCTCGACCACGACTCTGTTATCTGACTAATATTTATAAATCCCTTGTTGTCGCAATGTATATGGAAAAGGCTCTCCTTCACTTCACAGTAACATGGATCAAAGCAGGGCTCATCGAGTTCCTCCGAGTCCTCTATCAAGGGAATTGGTGTAGTCCATGCTAGAGCAATTGTGCTTAGAAGAATTATCCACAACATCCTTCCTTTGTGGAGAGTCTCTGCCGTGGAAGGTTTCATCATTTGGCGATGTTTACAAAACTGCAACGGAGGAGGGGAAGGAAAAAAAAAATACACGCAGATTTTCAGTAATTCACTCAAGCCCCGCTCTTCGTAACAAGCCCCTACCTGCTCGACACTTGTGTCGGGCTCCTGGAAAGTTCAGCATTTGTTGGGTAGACGCTCAGAACAAACTCTAGGGGTGTCTCATGTGCAAGCCGGGCCCTGGTTCGTACTTCAGACGTGTTAAAAGGTCTCATCACGCGATAGCAGCCTCCCTTCCCCCTCGGCCCCCGGCTCGGTCAATGCCATCTCCGAGGCAGGCTGCCCATGCAGATCCTACACCGGTGGGAACACGCAGGCTGGACGTGTTGCGTCTTCCCATGTTCTCTGCCATAACACCAGGGCTGAGAACGGCACATATTTCATTCCCAATTTCATTGGCAATTTTAGCTTTACGGCCATCATAACCCGCACTGACTACCGAGGGGGATATCGGCAAGGAGGTTTCTCCGGTGTCGCACTACATCGACCATATACATGCAAACTCCCAAAGTTACTGAATTTCAGTCACTGAATCCCTCTCCCTCCCGCCTCCATAGATCCACACCTAAGTTCAAAGGAATGTGCAAGGCAGCTGATGTCCCTGGCAAGACATTTCCTTATAGAAACCATGTCATTAAAAGAGTGACCGGTTATCAAGCCTCATTTAAGAGAAAATCTCCCCCTTTCAAACACACCAATGAATTAATGCAACTGATATATTATCAGATAAATACATACCACATATTAGTCATTTTAGCTGATTAAAGCATTTAGAGCCGATTAATCTTTCTAAAGCACATGCCCATGCGATCAGCAGATCTAAAGGGAAGTGACAGCTAAAGAGGCACCCAGGATTGAAATGCTCAGCCTGGCTTGGATTACGGTGTTTTGCACCCCCAGGACCAAGCAGGAGACCCGGTTAAAAAGCTGAAAGTGGAAGAAAAATACCTTGGCACTTACCAGCTGATACATTATCTATCCTACTAAATAGGTTTCCGAATGAAGACACCATTCTTCTCCAATCAGATGAGAAATAATACTGTACTAATGAGATGCAGCTCCTTCAACATATGGTTTCCCCATTCCTTTCGCCAGATATTTTACATGTATGGGCAGCGAGAAATGCTAGGGGTGGTGGTGATAATAACGATGGTGGTGCAGCCTTCCTTGGATCACCGAAATGCCCATTAAAATTATTCGGAGCGATCATCGCTCTTAGTGCCAATCTCGCAATGGAAAAGGACGTTTTTGCATTCCTTGTGCAAGAACTAGAAAAAAATGCCCCCCTTCCTCCATAAACTTAAGCAGAAAGATGTATTTGGGGGAAAAAATGAGGGAAACGGAAAGAAATCCTTAGCATCAACTTGCAAATGAAACCCTCCCCTGTGGGAACAGAGGAGATGGACGAAAGCATGAAAAGAGAAATACTCTCTGCAATTAAAACCAGGGTCTGATTGGGAAGAAGGGAGAGAGATGAGAGCTATATTGCAGCATCAGTCTCTCTGTCTCCTTTGCAAAATATTAGCCACTTAAGTTCTTTCTCCTCCGCAAGGGCTGTAATAAAAAATAAAAATAAATAAATAAATAAAAAGGATTATTATATCTTCTTTTTGGAAGAAGGGGTGTCTTTGACCCTAGCCGGAAACAAAAGGATCCAGAGAGCTGGTACTTACCGGTTTGCAGGAGAGATTTTAGCACATCGTTACCCAAGGAAAAAAAAAAGGGGGGGGGGGGGGGGGGGGGGAAAAAAAAAAAAAAAAAAG